CATTTTTCTGGCTGTGATATATGTTTCTTTAGCACAGGGATGCAGAATAATAGGTCCTAGTTTGGCCTTCTGGGGGACCCCAGAGAGCACACACCTCTCCCCATCTGTCAACAGGTTTCCCAGGTTCTTCCCAACCTTTTAGAATGATTTCCCGTTCCAAAAGTCTGAAATGCTTTTCCTAAGGCATAGTAAGCAGCAAGAAGAACTTCAAGCTAAAATATGTGGGTATTTCTGGCTTCTTCATTTTTGCCTGCAGTTGCATCCAGCATTGAAATGTGGCCCTGGGGAATTTATCCAAAATGGAATCCAGCCCTTGGGCAGAAAGAGGTTCTGTTTCCTTGCATGAATCAATAGGACCCAGACAGTGAGCTTGGGCTGTGCATTCAGGTTGCTAGGTGTGTTTTGGGTATTCATCTTAACATACCTTATAGAATTGTTGTGAGTCTGACAAGAGGTGACTTTATGTACCAGAGCCGGTGTGGTGTAGTGGTTGGAGTACTGGACTAGGAGTGGGGAGACTGAATTCAAGTCCCCTTTGTCCATGAAACTCATTGGGCACCTTTGGGCCAGTTTCACAGGGTTGTTGTGAGAATTATTATTATTATTATTATTATTATTATTATTATTATTATTATTATTATAGCATTTCTATGCCGCCCCTTGCCGAAATCTCGGGGCGGCTTACAACACAAAAAAATACATTGAAATACAATAGAACATAATAAATTACCATTAAATACAAAAATACATTGAGTTACAAATATAAAATTAAAATTATCAGTATAAAATAAGTAAATCAAAATATAGGAGGAGAAAAGAGAAGGAAGAAGAAGTTGCCCTGGCCAGATCATATGTTTTAACAATTAAAATGATGTTTAAATAAAAAGGTCTTTACCTGGCGCCGAAAAACCAGTAACGACAGTGCCAGGCGGACCTCTTTGGGGAGTGAATTCCATAGGTTGGGCGCCACCGCAGAGAAAGCCCTCCTCCAAGTACTTACTCTTCTAATTTCTTTCATGGAGGGTTCCCGGAGAAGGGACTCTCCCGCAGATCTCAAAGGGCGGTCGGGCATATACGGACGTAAGCGCTCGTTCAGGTAGCCAGGACCCAAGCCGTTTAGGGCTTTATAGGTCATAATCAACACCTTGAATTGGGCCCGGGCTTCAATGGGAAGCCAGCGAAGCTGACGGAGGACTGGAGTCATGTGAACATAATGCCCCGTCCCCGTCAGCAACCTGGCAGCTCTATTTTGCACCAATTGAAGTGTTTGGACCGTCTTCAGGGGAAGCCCCACGTAAAGTACGTTACAGAAGTCTAGGCGGGAAGTCACCAGTGCGTGTGTCACCGTCACCAGGCAGTCGTACTCCAGGTAGGCTGAAGAAGGCGTTCCTCGCCACCACTGTCACCTGAGCTTCCAAAGAAAGCTCCGGGTCGAGGAGTACTCCTAAGCTGCGGACCTTATCCCTAAGAGGGAGTGTTGCACCATTCAGGACCAGAATAAAATGAAGAATGTGCTACTGTGCTTCCTTGGAGCAACAGGCAGAATAAAAATGTAACCAATCAATCAATCATTCAGCCACAGAGGCCTGAATTCTTGGGAGGAAGGTTTGGCTTTGACTATAAGCCATAAAGTTGCATGTAACCCAAGCAAATTACAATCTGTGAGTATCAATGGACACAAGCAGCAAAATTCGACTTGTCAGAGAAAGGGATTTCTTCCTGCTCCAAGGAAGGTGTAAATAGCAGGGCCAGATGGCTCTGTTTCTCATAAGCCCTTGTCTGAGCAGGTCTTGTCTTAAACAGTTCTCCCTTTGCTGCTCTCCATTCATTGTGGACCTTTGAAGGCAGCATCCTCAATACACCCATGACCTTTGGTAAGCATAGCCATTATGGTGCAGTGCAGCATTACTGTGTCCTTCTCAGTCACTCGCTCTTTCTGTCTGTGTTGGGGTTTAATGCAATTGCGTATGCCTTGAGAATGTGGTGGAAATGGGGCCGGGTCTCAGCTGCTCTGTGTGATTGACTGGGTATTTTTAGCTCAGTTCTTAGAGCTTAGATTGCCTTACATGTGCCAGCCATTGATTCTGCTCTATTATACTCACATTTTGGCTGGGTTTGGGGAGCAGGAAAGAATACAATGGATTGTTAGAGCCGTCATTGAATTGGTGTCTGGAGGAACTTGTTTCTATAAGAAGAGTTTGTCACCGGGTGTGAGGAAATATCCAAGTTTAAAGGCGATGCTTTTCAACACTGTGAGTGTAGTCTTGCTATGCTTAGGTGATGGATGGAGGTGGAGGTAGGAAGGAAAAGGAAGGCCAAACAAAATCAGGATGGCAAAGAGAGCTGGTTGATCTACTAGGCCAAAAATATACCACACAGTATTTCAAAGCCTTAGCTGATTTCTGATTGTATCCTGCAAGTCTCTTCCCTTCTTCCCTGATTTGTGACACTTGGAGAAGTAGGATAAGCTCTGGCTGTCTACATCATGTCAATAAGAGCTGGTGTGGCTTAAGGCACCCCTTAAGAACCCATGCAGTGTCTCTGACAGTGTATAGCCACCTTCACCAGGAGTCAGGACTTCTAGTCCAACAGATCTGGAGGGTACCAATTTGGGGAAGGTTGGTGGTACCTAGGAAGCTTATTGTAACCTGAGGAGAGTATCAGGGCTATTCCAAATATATTGCATTCTATTTATACTTTTTATATTTTAACCTTCAAGGAACCCAAGAAAACTTACATAATCTTCCTCCTTTTTTCTAACTTCTCTTTACACCAACTTGTGAAGTAGGTTAATCTGAGAGTCTGTGACTGGTCCAAAATTAACCAGTGAGCTTAACGGCTGAGCGGGGACTGGATCCAAGATCTTTTAAGTCCCAACCACTCTTTTAAGTCCCAGGAGTCTCACCACTCCTTCCAGGTAGTCTTGATACTAATTGCTGTGCAACACACCTGGAGGGTGCCAGGTTGGGGAAGGCTGCTCTAGAGCAACTTCCCATGGTCAAGGGAACATTTTCAAGCCATGTTTGTTCATTTATTTATTTAAAGCATATTTACCCTGTTTTTTGACAGCCAAAAAAAGAACCCCTCCTTACCCCTGAGTGGCTTACATACAATCAGTGACAACTGAATAGTCCCTGTAGCTCCCTGCTTGCAAATTTACAATCTAAAAAACTGCAACACAAAAAGAGAAGGGGGTGGAGAAGAAAAAGGGGGAAAGCAAATTTGCGTACTCTTTCTTCAAGTAAACAGTAGTTCTTCTAAAAACCAGGTAGAACCAGTTCAGCAAGATGAGGCGGCAGATGGAACTGGAGGGAGCGTCTCCACTTCCTCCCTCAACGCCTTCTACGGCTGCTTCATGGAATGGCTGCTGTCTATTCAGTGGAGAGAAAATCCTAAGGAGCTGGCCTTTCAGTAGAACATGCTTCCTTCTCCTCTTGCTCTGCAGCAGTCTGCTGGATTGCAATGTTAAAGCGCCTATTTACTCTTAATTTTTTAAAATATCGAACACCAGTGCCCTGTAATTATGGTTCATCCGGCATGTGATGCAAAATCAGCCACTGCTAATATGAAATATTGTCCCTAGAAATGTAGCTGTTAATCTGAGTCATCTGGTGACGGGTGTGGCATGTGCTTCTCTTTCTAGGCAGAGTCAGAAATTTAAAAGATGCACACTATCATTTCCCAGTATCCTTTTTTTTCCACGGGGAAACAAAGCAACTGGGGCTGTCCTCCAGGAGGCTTGGCCTTTCTCACACTAGCAAACAGTGGGAGTGATATTTTCAAGAGCACAGAAATGTTCATCTTTGAATCTGCATAATAGGATATAATTGTGTCGATACAGGAAATACCAAACACACGTGTTTCTTAGGAAAGCTGGCCAAGGTTGCAGAATCATGCCCAGATGGAAATACTAGATGCTGAATAGGAATGTTCAGTAGTGTTCAAAGTATTTCCTTTGAATAGCATTTATGCACATATCCAAACAGGCAAACAGTAATCATGCTAATCAACCTAAACTCTAATAGACTTTCAGGCAAAGTAGGTAAATGTAATAACATATGTACAGATAGTAACAGGCAATAAAATCTGAAACTCTGGGACATTTGCTTTGGCAGTTTGGAGGAGTGGTAGAAAATGCTCCACTTCAGACCACAGCTGCTCTTCATTATGTGTTAGTGGATGCAAATATTAAGCTGGGGCAAGAGGCTGGGTCTTCCAAAAGATGAGAATGTCTTCCCTCTGCTCTGTCCCAATTTCGGGCAATTGGTTAATTCTAATGGACTTCCTCAATTTTTGCAAAGGATATATTCTATAGTATTCTCTGCATAGCTGTCAAATCGTTGAACTCCCCCCAAAATGAAGCTTTCCACCACCACCCGGCAAAGCCCAGCCATTAGCAAAGCATATCCTGTATTGAAAACAAGGCATTAGTCATAATAAATAATACATCTTCTGCTTGTGGCCTAGACAGTAAGTCTTATAGGTGATTTCCCAACAAACTCTTCTTAAACCATTTAATTGCAGCCACCTAATTGTATAAACTTTCTAATATAAAGCTTGCCCTAGAGGCACATCTGCTTGGTTGCCTTAGACATACAGCTCTTATTATGCAGTGTTGTCAGTTGTATTACCCTAGCTGTTGAGCATCATGTGGAATTAGAATTGTAGCTGCCTTTTTCCTTTAGCTTTGCTTTTATTGTTATGTTTTGATTGCTTGCATTTTGTTTTGTATGTTGTAAAGCTGCCTTGGAGAAAATGAAGTAGGCTAAACATGCCTAAACAGACAGCTGTGAATATGTTGCATTTTCAGAGCTTGAAGACTCCTGCTTAGACTTTTGACTCCATGTCAGTGTGGCTTTTTGGTGGGAAATTTTTGGCATCCAAAGAGACCTGTGGGAAGATGATCCACATCTTGGGAAGGCATGCCTGTTATTCAGCCACAACTACTCAAGGGTTTGCAAGCATAGCCAGGCTCAATGTTGTCTCTTTTCTCTCCATAGTATGAAGTGACTGGTGAGGAGCACCTTTACTCTGATTTCCCAGAGATTGATTTGTCCCAGTTGGATGCCAGTGACTTTGACTCAGCCAATTGCTTCAGCGAGTTGCAGTGGTGTTGTGAGCACTCCGAAACAGAGTCCAGCCAGTACAGCACAGATGACTCCGAGCTCTTTCAGGTACCCTTTGCCATGGGATTCTCTGTTACGGTGGGCAGCTTGCTCTGGAGCACAGTTTTTCTTATCTTGCCCTCAGCTATGGCACCTTTGCTGGCAACATCCTGTGGTTGTTAGGTGGCCTGTTGTGGAGAAGAGACACATTCCGAGAGGGTAGGGGCATCACTAAGAACTAGAAACCCAAGCCTGGGATTCAAGGCCCAAGCCTGTAGAGTACAACTCTACATTAAAAAGTCAGAAAGAACTTTTACTAGGATTTATGTAAATTTCACAGGTGGCAAAGCCAGGCAACTATTTCTCATCTAAATTATTTCAAAGCAAATTCTTAAATTACTTTGCAATGTGGCCTGGGTCATCTCAAACCAATCGAGGGTTTTCCCCCCTTAATTGTCATGCAGGAGAAGATTGTGGAGGGAGGAGTGTTACAGCATGTGGAAAGAGGAGGGTTAAACTCTACCCTCTCCAGTTGCATTCCCCCATGAAAATTGTCCTCTGCATGGTAAGTAAGCTGAAGGAAAAACCTTCCCCATTTGCACTAGTGGACGCTTGGGGAACTATGGAACAAACCCATGGTCCTGGAAAATAGAATTGGTACTGGAGCCACATGGGCATAAGCTGAGGAACAGTTAGGGATGTGCAAAACAGCAAAACTCAACCTTGCTAAAGTTCTCCCAATTGCATCTTGAGGCTCATTCTGATCTAAATCTGTATCAGATCAAGATCTTCTGGGGTGAGGGGGGGAGATACTTTCGTAGGAAAATCTGTTTGCATTTTTGTGTTCATTTTCCAAAATATATGAATCACATGTGTGTCTCTTCTAAATGTATGTATTTTTCCCATTAATGAAACCGTGTTTGTACTCTGTATTTTTCAAACGTATGTATTTTTTTTCCTGAGTATTTTCCTGAGTATTTTTCCTGAGCACGCTGTTGGGCATATTTTTGGAGTCCACAAATGACATTGGCAAGCTTTTTGTTGAAGAAAAAACAGAAAGACATACTCTTATTGTTTCAGGTACCAATACAGGCCCCTCCGGCCTCACAGCATTTGTTTCAGACTGTGCTTGGAATCTGTGTACCCTGCAGGCTTTTCTGTCTTCCTGCATTCAGTGCAGCAGTTTATGTGTGAATGTATGAAGCTCCTTTATACCACAGGCTAAATTAAGCTAATACCATAACAGCACAGGCCCATGTGCTCCAGACATAGTGTGCTCTACTGACAGATGCCCTGCAGAGCAGGAGATGGAGGCAACCTTTGCCTTTCTATCCTTCTCACAGCTGATTTTCCACTCAATATGCTTTCAGATATCCCTGGTGAGTTTGTGAGGACAAGTGCTGGGAGGCTTTAGGATTCTGTGATCCTAATTGCTTCTTCTTCCAAAGCCGTTCCTCTCATTCACATCTTCACTCAAGCTTGGAGCTCTGACTTGGGTGAGGAAGCTACTGCAGTGCTGTGAAGGGTGGGAGGGACAGTAGGGGGAACATCATCATTCAGATGTCTAGGTCATAGGGGTTTCCTGGGATGTTTTCCCAGGGACCATAGGATTACTCTCTAAATTTATGATGGAATTTGTGTGTCTTGCAATTAAAGAAGGCGCTCACAGGTATTTTTTATCTGGATTAAGTCCACTGCACAGAATGGTGAGAGCGTTGACCTTTCTCTCCTGTGCCTTGTCCACATGGCTGAGCCATGTAGCATTAGTATTGGCTAGATCATGGGTGGAGAGCCTCTGGCCCACAGAACAGATCCAGCCCTTCTGGGGTCCCTCGAAGTCACCCCCTCTTTCCTCTGAGCATCACATCTACTGATTTTCCACCTTTGCACATGTCTCTTCTCCCCACCCCCACCCCCACCCCCGTTGTGAAATAGTGAAAGCTTCTCCTAGGGCTTAGTTATTGGCAGTAAGACCTTTAAGCTAAAGCTAAAATATGCTGGTTTACTATTACTATTACAACTACTACTGGGAGCTTCTTCAAAATGAAATTTGGCACTTGTTCTGAAAAATGTTGGACACCCTTGGGGGCCAGAACAGCTCAGCCTGTAGGGCCAGGAAGGGGGCGCTGCAATCATTTCTAAAGAATTCATCTCCCTTACCAGGACACCTGTTGGGTTGAATATCGAGTTTGACTGATTCTACCTAGAATTCGATTGATCAGGAATCCTATTGTATAACCCCAGTCCTCCTTCAGCTTCACTGGCTCCCCATTGAAGTCCGGGCCCAATTCAAGGTGTTGGTTATCACCTATAAAACCCTCAACGGCTTGGAACCTGGTTATCTAAAGGAGCGCTTGCATCCATATATGCCTTCCTGCCCCTTGAGATCGGCGGGGGAGGCCCTTCTCTGGGAGCCCTCTGTGAGGGATATTAGGAGGGTGAGTACCCGGAGGAGGGCCTTCTCTGCGGTGGCGCCCCACCTCTGGAATGCGCTCCCCAGAGAGGTCTGCCTGGCACTGTTGTTATTTGGCTTTCAGCACCAGGCCAAGACCTTTTTATTTAAACGCTTTTTTAATTGTTAACTGTTTTTTATTTAATGGTTTTATATTTGCCGAGAAACTCCGAATTTTTAATATCATCCTATGCCTGATTGTTTGTTCTTTGTGAGCCGCCCGAGGCTTCAGCGATGGGCGCGGCATAGAAATGTTATATATATTGTAGGGATGTGCAAGGAATCCATTCTGGGGATGGGAATCCATCAGTTTCCCTATGCTCAGCTCCCTGGACTGGTCCACTTTGATGTGGCCAGGAATCTGAGTTCCTGGCAAGAAGGCCCAGGATTTGCATGAAACTTGCCAGGAATTAAGCACTATGGAAATGCTGCGCAAGCAGTGTCCCTCTTCAATATCACATGCGGCAGATTTGTTTGTGCTGCTTCCTGTGACATGGAAAAGGGTTGCCTGTTGTACAGGTGTAGTTCTGCGAGCATCCGTGGCCTTCTTCCGGGCTTGGGTCACTTTTGCTAGAGGGCTGGATTTTGTGGCGTTTCAACACATCCCTGTTTTACTGGTACCCCAGCCACCAATCAGTAGCTTTTTCTGAGCTGGCCAAGGAAGTCCTGCTCGTGTATTGGAAAACACCAGGACTTCTGCGGGATATCATTGCAGCCATAATAATTATGAGGGTCTCTCAGTACCTCATCAGCCTGACACATTTTGCAGGATATGCTCTAGATCCAGTTTTCTTGATGAGTGCAGCAACAAGTTGAGAGAGTCTGTATCACTGTTGGCATGCTCTGATAATTTCCTAGTGAAGTTTAGGTTGGCCGTGATTTTCCCCCTCTGCAGGGATGGTAGTGGTATATCTATTAAATTGATCCATGTCCAGAGGATTAGCGAATGCATGGCAGGATTTTCCAGTTCATAGGGCTGATGTTCTTTTGAAGCCCTGCTCTCCCTGTGGAATTATGAGAAGTAAGGGGCTGTTGACACAATTTCTTTTCAGAGTCCTTCATGTACTGCAGAACCCAGCCCACTTCCTGGTTGGGAGTGATGAAAAAGCACATGATAATGGCTAGACCATAGATGGCATAAATCTTACTGTGACTTTGTCTGAACACAAGTAGGAACATATTATTGTGCTTACTTTTTAGTGACTAGGGCAGCAAAGCATCCTGTCCTCAGTTAGCCATCCAGCGGAGCTTTTTTAAGCAATTGGAGGACTATTACATTTAGACTGCGGGATGAATGTGTTGAAATTCTTGGTGGTCTACTATGGCAAAGTTGTTAGGCATGTGTTGGGATAAAATCATATGTATTCTTTCTAATCTTGACACCTTCATCCATTCATTCAATTTATATGTGGTCCCACTAGCCATAGGCTCTCTGGCTGGCTTCCAACATGTTAAAATTCAACAACATAAGACAATACAAACACAATATGAAATTTGCTATAATAATAACAGTAACATGTGCAAATAAATTAACAAAATTAAAACCCTAAGAGGAAAAATAGAATTAATTAATACTAATATATATATATATATATATATATCACACAAGAATAAAACATAAACCATTAAAATTAAGAATAAATATATCTCCTTTAAAATCATGTCCCATTAGCAGCAGCATAATTGAATAAGATTAAAATGTCTCATTACGTGGGACTGATTTCAGGTGATGTAGTCCAAGGATATGGACAAGCTGCTTAGAAAGAATAATTCACCACCCGTATGTTCAGTCCTTCCCATCTTGACTACTTGCTCTAGCCAGAGTGGATTCATTGGGCGGGTCAAGGAGATGATCAGTGCCTCCTTGAGAGAAGCATCAAAGGGTGGTTTTGAGACCACCCTGACCTCCTGAAGAAGTTCTCACTGACTCAGAAGATTATAGTAAATGCAGCCCTCTAGCAAGTAACCTCTTCTGCAGTAAGGTGCTTGAGAGGGTGATTGGAGTTCAATTCTAGATATTGTTGGAAGAAAGGATTATCTAGAACAGTTTCACTCTAGGATTAAGCAAAGGCTGGACACTGAAACAGCCTTGGTGACCCTGATGAATTACTTCCGCTAGGAGAGTGATAAGGGGGTGCAATCTTGTTGATTCTTTTTGAATTCTCGTCAGTTTCTGATACCATCAACAGTGGTGTCTTGTTAGACCAGCTCTGCAGTTTGAGCTGAGGGGCACAGTGATGCAGTGTTTCCACTCCTACCCATGAGGTCAGCTTTGGAAAGTTGCTTTGGGGGATTTCCATTCTAACCCATGGCACTCGATTTGGCCCCCATGCCCTTTAACACCTATAGGAAGCTGCTGGAAGAGGTCATCCAAGGTTTAGGAGTTGAGGTGTCACTTGTGTTTCGCAGTCTTATCTCACTGAAGTGTGAAGATGCCAGCTCACCGTCTGGACTAAGAAATGGATTGGATTAGAGAATATGAATCCTGATAAGATGAAGGAACTCTGCCTGGTTAGTGCCTGGACTGTTCTTGATGGGAAGAGCATGTATTCAGTGTGATAGTCCTCTTGGATCTGACATGGTCACCTGCGGTCCAGATAGACTCTGTGGCTTGGAA